GCGCTAAAACGAATTGGAACCTCCAAAATACAGCCAATCAATGCTGAAATTGTGCTCTGTCTAACGAGCCAATCGGCTAGTCGACAGGAGTATTTTATGAAAAATGCCGCCAATCAGAACACAACCGTAGCGATTATTATGGACCAGAGTAGTACAAGTCGTAACATGTATCATGTTATAGAGGTTGTCCGGTGTTGCGGGGGTGTCGGCTTTTCCCGGGGTTGAAATAAGCGACCGACGCTCCATCATACATATCCGCTTTCTCGTCTCACGCGCCGGAATTCCTATTTGCGGTGGAACGTCCTACAGCTCGATCTGCACACGATGCACACGGTGGTCCATTTCCCAGAGCGTTGTAAGAACCCTTGCCCTGACAGTGAGCTCCATGCGCTGTTCTAGTACAGAGATCCACCTGATTTCGCTCCATCTTCAAAATATAAATTCTAACAGACATTTGGAAACAAAAAAATGCACAAACATAATATTGTAAAGGTGATGTTGGGCTCAGTTGAGCAAACTTGCAATCGAATGGCCTGAGGTAATCCGCACTAAATGAAGCTGATCGAATAGTGCTTCACGAGTAACAATACCCGTGTGGCTCCAGCAGTTTCGAATTGTCGTTGATGTCGCGCACTCCCGTTCAAATGACCTCTGAAAACTTAATGTTGAAATCGTATTACAGTATACAGTTCAAACATTTTGAGTAGAGAGCAAAATGTGGTGGACCTCTGTACATGTTTTCGGAATGGCCCCAACACGTCTCGGTTGCCTCGCGAGTAACGCTGTACAGCATGTAAACGGTCCAAGCACGTGCTAAATTTTCCAACGGAGAACAATTATTCTGGCCTCAGGAAGGCATCCAAGCATCTCTCTCACAAGCAACACTAGCCATTACTCGCATGCTCCCCCAGCAAATCAACCTGGCGTCCAGTAGAACTGCTGCTGCTCCAATGCCCTAGAGCGGCCGAATTCTCAAGTAGTCATGCCAATTGGTCGACGTACGAATTTGATCGAGATCTAGCTCCAGTTGCCTCCAAACTTAGGTTGGAGTCCATTGGCCAGAGGTGGCTCCACTCGCACGTCCACACTAGCCCCAGAGTTCGTTTCAAGATTTCCATACCTTCAATGCCGTCCGAGGCGACAACACGCTGTTCAGACTAAGGCTGCCTCGACACTTTGTCAAACCAGCAGTGCATACGATAACGCTACGATCTCCTCATCCATTGTGCTAGTGGCGCCGTATTCAACGTGGAACACGTGCGACAACATGCCCCATGGTCGTTCATCAAGGGTTAGTTCTTGAGCGTATCTGAGAAGATGTGGATTCAAACAAATGTGCAACTCAGGATTCATTACACATCACATAGCGTCCTGTGTTGAGCGGCCCGATGTGTAACAACTCCGGTACATTTTTGCAGTGGGATTATGAATCCAGATAGAAAGCCGGAAAATGCGGTGGAGGGGAGACTTGGAGGTTGGAGGCAAATTGCCGAACAAATTTGAACACAGGATTTATCTTCACTCAAGCACATCCTTCAGATGGCTGACGCCATAGTATAGAATCGTTGAATTCAAGCATGTGGCCTCGTTCATGCTGCTACTTTTCCTTCATACGTCACTTAATGCATACTCATCGCAAGAGCACTTGCGGTGAATCTTCAACTCGTAGTTGTCTGATATGAGTTCAGATGGGTCAAGAAGACTCCGCATCCTTACACGATGGGTGTACCCGTGGTAAGGCTGCATCCACCGCATCTCGTTGAGTTTGACGACGGCTTGGAGCGCGCGGAGCCACTCGTGCATGTCCCGCTCCGACGACGCCGCGACAAAGTACCGGTGCGTCGGCGTTTGGATCGCCAGGCGCCACGCCGTCGACGCGGAGCGGTTGTATTTGAGGCAGTCTGTGGGCAGCGCTTCGAACGACTGCACGGTGCACTCGGTGAGGTCGATCGCGCCTTTGAGCTTGCCATCTTGGTGGGTGTAGTACTCGAGCGACGTGCTCGTGAGGCGGCAGTGGCGGGGCGTCCATCCGTAGCGCTTGAACAGTCCGTTACCCGAGCTCTTCTTGAACAGCGTGCTGCTTTTGAAGGCCATCGGGAATTTCAGAATGGCGGGCGACCTTTGTCGCCGTGGCAACGACTTCTCACGTTGATCTCTTCTTGAACAGGGTGCAGCTTTTAAAGGCCATCGGGAATTCCAGAATGACGACCAACGTGATCGAGTTCAGGGGGCGTTGTCGCCATGCGACTCGAGATGTGTGGCGTATGTGCGATGCATCCCATGCACGTCAATGGGCATTTCTCAGTGTCTGATTGGTCGTGCTAGCTGTAATCGAGTATGGGATGCAAAGTTTTGATGTCCGTCCATGGGCGTTTCGATACCCCCTCTCTGCTCGTTTGGGTTCGAGTGAGCGGTCCGTTTGGATTTCCCCACGGGTAAATCGAGTGCGTATACTGGATGTGAAGCGCCGACGTTCAAGTCGAGTCGGGCGCTGTTGCGGACCCATGAGAGCCCGTCGACGGCCGAGCCCCAAGGAGATCGGGATACCGCAGTGTTAGGTCGTGGCAATGTTGCGCCAAAAGGGCTCGCAACTCGGCGTACAGAATGCTCGGACGAGCTCCGCGCCACACGTGTATGTCCGGCTTGATGCACGGAGGAATATGAGAGGTGGGAGCCGCTAAGAGTTCGACCACCGCCCAGCTTTTCGACACTGTGGGCTGATCATTCTTTCAAATCAGCAAAAGGTCGTAGCGTTATAATATTAATAAAATTTTAAAAATCGAAGCTTGTCAAACATATCAAGTTTCATCTCAATTGAGACGTATCTCTCGAACTAGAAGGTGTGGAACTTGGTGTAGACAGTCACCGCCGACCCATGCTGGGTAGCAAAAGGTTTCGTTATCGACTAGGTGGAAAGTTTAAGCTTGGTCGTGTGGTACGAGGAGCCTTGGTGGTAGTAGGATACGGGGTATCCTTACGCTTGGTAGTTGTGGGCTTAGTTGCCGTCGACTCGGTGGCCACACCAAACCAGGCCATACGCACTGTTGCTGTCGCAGTAGTCCTTGTCGTAATCGGCGGAGAAACACTCG